TAGCAATTTAGAAGCATTAAGATATAGAGAGAAGACATTTAAACCTCATACCTTTGAAAACAATTGAGTAGAACGTATGGTAAAAATATGTTTTGAAATTTTACTCACGAGAGTTATCTGTGTAAAACTGAAAGAATATTTTAAAATCTATACATTTACCTCATCTGTACTTACTGAGAAAACTTGGCTGCCTGTATTCAAAATGTCTAAAGGTGTCATTTGGTGCTATCGTTATGTCTTTGTTCTGAACTTGTAAAAAAAGACTAAACTGAGATGTTAATTCTAACGGATTAATGAAATAATGTGTACAAACATGAAAGACTCACAGAACTGGAAGAAATCCAAACTTCTACTTAATGAAAAGAATCCATTCTACAATGGCAGATGATCCTTCAGGCTAAACATTTCAAATGGTAGGGAACTTTTCATACTTCAAGGTAGCCGCTTCACTATATTTTGGAATTACGATGAGACTAGGAATCAGAAGATGCATGCCTAAGTCTAAGCTATGCCTCTTTATTAGTCCTTATTCATAGCCTCGAGTCCCCCAGTTCAGCCTGAAACTTACCACACTCTTTAGAACCACCAATTCCAACCATAGGCAGGTTGAAAAGAGTGAGTCCAGTACTCTGACATTTGAATGTCTCAACACCACTGGTGTCTACATCATTTTGGTTGTAACAGTGAAGATACAAATTTCCAAATGACAGATGATTCAGGTAACCATCAGTGTTTAGCATGAGAAAACCCTACAAGACTCCCGGTCAGTATGCACTAGGAAGGGAAACTATCTGGCTACTGCAGAGTGTAATGAAGGTAAACAGATGATGGAAAACTGAAAAAGTAAGAGAGTCACTGCTGTAACAGAGGGGTAGTAATCACACAAAGCAATGTGAGCATTAGGTCTAAGTGGGGCAAATCCAGGCTCTCCACAAAGGGAACTGTTGGGCTAAGATGCAATCTGCTGAGGGCTCTGCTGGTCTGCTGCTGCTTTCTCAGATGGAAGGTCTGATGGGCATGAGAAAAAAGGCATGCAAAGAGGCCAGATCTGACTGTCAGAATTCTGCTGAAGAACAATTGCTGAGATGCAGCTGACAGGAAGGAAGAGCAGGCAAATAGGAAGAAGTGAGTCCTATTCTTGCCTGTGTTCTGTTCTCCATCTGGAGCAGCAGACTTGCCGATCTCAGCAGCACTGACCAAGGGAAAGACAGAGCCCCAGGGGTTGGATCACAGAGCCAGGAAAGAAGGGCAAGTTTGGAGTTGAGACACTGTTTGACAGCTGGCACTTGGTTGTCCTCCTCTTTCGAACATGCGGTTGAGATTCAGAGTACTTAGGAGACTTGTCTAGGGCCCCACAAACCACAGCACAACTACTAGCAGACATGGATATATAAAAACTTAATGTCAATTAAAATTTACTTCCAAGAGTCAGAAAACTGTCAACTTTGAATTTGGCAAAGAATTTTATAGAGACACCAGCTCCCCACCCTCCTTGTATGCAAAATGCGTATATTCCAAGACCCCGAGACTAAGCCTGAAACCATGAATTGTGCTGCACTCTGTATGTACTACCTTTTGGCCTGTACCTACTGACAAAGTTTAATTTATCAATTAAATGCAGTGAGAGGTTAATAAGAATAAATAATAATTAAACAGAACAATCAATATACAATCACTGAAATAGAGTTATTTAAAACATACGATTCTTTGTTTCTAGAACTTTCCAACTACTATTTCCAGACTACAGTTCATTGTGGATATGTGAAGCTATGGAAGGTGAACCTGTAGATAAGGAGGCACTGCTGTAGTAGATATAGTTAGATGAGACATTTTGAAACTGTGTTTTGGCTTGTAAAAGTCATATGAAATTACAGTAATTTGTGTGACTTAATTAACTGCCAAGCTATAGAACTGTGATCATGTATGCTAATACTAAGGGTCAGATCAATTTTGTTGTTGTATTCTAACTACAACACCAAGCCCTCGTCCACATGTTTGTTGTGTTCATGGCTTGTTGTTCATCTGATGCGTCCATGCCCGCAAGACTCCAAGACTTTATAAGCAGGAACGTTACACATCAGTGTTCTACTGGAGGCAAGGAGTGAAAACCAATGAAGCAGTTAGGGAAAACATCCTCTAGTGCCAAGTGGAGTGATCTCAGATTGTAAGCTTCATCACCGGGTTCTGTTTCCCTGGGATATCAGAAATGATATTTTGAGAGGTCTTAGGATCACCTCAAAACGTTCACAGATGCTCTAATGAAGGCAGAAAAGCACAGAGTCTGTGGAATGTTGAATCCCAGCTCTGCCATGATCAAGGTGACCTTAAGTAAATTACTTTAGTGTCTTGTTCAATGCGGATGCAAATGTTCGCTTATGCATTTAACAATGATTCATGGAGTGCCTGCCATGTGCCCAGCACTGCTATAGGAATTCGGGACCAGTGAATCCCTCTGTCCTTAAGGGATTCCTCTTCATTTCAGTAGAGGAAGGCAGAAGATAAGCACATTAATGCAGAAAATGTTAGGTGACAGTAAATAATGCAGGAAAAAAGCAGAACAGGAGAGTGAGAATGATGGAGGAATCATTTTTCTAGAATGAATAGAGACATCTTGTCTGATAATATAACATCTCAACAAATGTCTGAAGGAAGAAGGGAACGCGGTGATACCTGGAGAAGCTTTCTAAACAGCAGACCGCGGGAGTGCAAGGACCCTGTGGAGGGATGTGCTTAGTGAGCGCAGGGTGAGACAAGAGGGGGTGCAGTGAGACACGAGGTCAGGGAACTGTGGGAGGGGAGCCAGAGGTGGTACTAGGTACCGGAAATACATGAAAAGTTTTGATCAGAGGACTGATGTAGTCTGAATTGTTTTTCAAGTGTCACTATATCTGGCTGAAGAACAGACAATGGGGAATCAGTTAGGAAGATATTACTGCTCTCCAGGCCAAACATAACAATGGTTTGGGAAAGGATGTGAGGGGGAGAGGTGTTGAAAAGTGGAAGGGTTTAGAATAAGTTTCAGAGCACAAGCAACTGCTGATGTTCAGTGAGAGGAAAGGTAAGGGGTAATCCCAGAGCTTGGGCTTGAGCAGCAGGGAGAAAAGCAGTGCTATACTAAGCAAGCAGTGAGAGGGCTGGTTAAGCATGGTGACCCTGCTGTGAGATAACGAAGCCGTGAAACAACTAAGATCACAGGGAAACTAGCCCCATATCCACCCAAGTAGGAGGTCATCCATTCTGAGATCCTTCCTGTCCTTCCTAACACTCCTTGCCCATTCTTCAGGCTCTGAACGAGTCAACCCACCACTCCACCCACCTCTTCTCTCCCCAGATCAATGTACAGTCAACACCGTGCCACTGCAGGGAGAGGTTCAGCCGACACTAATCTAGAAAAACTCCCGAAAGACTCAATAGGGATAGATAAATTGCGTTTTAAAATTAAAAAGAGAAGCATTTCATGTTAAAACAATGCACATGCTCACACGCTAATTAATCCTCCTAGCACTTCAAAGTACTTAACGTGCTCCCTCAGAATGTCCCTGTTTTTAAATAGAAATCCTGTGAACAGGGAAACACAATATTTTATGAGAATTTTTTTCTTAGAATTTCTGGAGAGGAGCTCAGAACCTGAAAAGTTCCCAAAAATTCTCTAGAAACACTTACTTGAATATGTATCTCTTGGTAAAATTCCCTACTTGATTTTGTTCTTTTGTCTAAAAGTTTGAAGCATAATATTAAAAGGAAAGAAGTAATGTAAATATCTATGCACTCGTATTATGTAAATACATCTTAGCAACACTTTATCCAATGCCAACCTGAAAAATAACCGGCTTGTAAATACATGCATTCAGTTCAGTTCTTCAAAATTCTTCATTGCAGCTTCATTTGAAATGTCAGCATTCAGTTCACATATCTCTATGCTCTTAAGAATCATCAGCATTTAATTTATGAGTGTTTTTAGATGGAAAGATTCCACTACTTAAAATTCATTTCAATCCCCTTGGTCTGAATTGTGGAATACTTATATCTTGTGTTTTTTCCAAAGCCCTCTTCTGTGCTCAATTTCCCATAATTAATCTGATCTTCAATCCAAAGTAAAGTGCAGCTCACACCACTTCTCCACTCCAACCCAGGGGCAATAACATAGAGAATAATACAGCCCAGGGTCGAGTAACCCATTGTCCCATCCTTGCCATTTTGTCCCCAAGGAGCATCTAATGTATGTGTGACCTCAGATAGCATTCAAAGCTGAGTGTATTGTGGCTTAAAAAATGAACAGTTCAGGGGCAAGGAGCAGCTGACAGCCCATTTTGGTAAGAAGCTCACAAAAACAGACCAGTTTACCTTCAAGGAGTGTGCGTGTTCATTGCATCGGGTAGGTGTGCTCATTAACTTCTTCAACTGTAGAAAGACAGAGTACCCAGCTTTGCCAGAGATGCAAAGGAGCAAACAAGGACTCCTCTCTTGCTTGGCAAGCAGGAGCATTGGCAGGAGCACCAAAACTCTTGTCGATGTCTTAGGTCTGTGACTCATGGCTTTTAATACTGAATTACAGTGTGACAGGAACATTTTCATGCTCCCCAAGGCACACAGCAGAAAGCAAATATCTAAGCAAATACACCAATATTTAGTATAAAAGGCAGTGAAGTCATGGGCACTGGCTATGAGAAGCCAGAGTTGACTATAAAATCTTGCTCAAGTATTTCCAAGTATAATTTTCTCAACTCATGACCAGAGAATCATTTACCTCCAGGAAGAATTTATTTCTCATTTTTATTAATCGCCTTCCTAGTGCTTTTCTTTATACTTAACCCTGTAAGACCTGTGTTCAAAGCAAGTAGCAATATTTACTCCTGTTTCATATCATGAGATTATTAAGAGTCGTTATTAAGAGTTTTAACGCTACTGACATCGACTCGATTTTCCAGCTAGGGTAGTGCTACCCTTCGACTTTAATGGAAGAGAAAATTGGCTTTGACTTGTCTGTTTTTCAATTTTAGGAATAGTTGCTGTCCTCTTCTGCGGAGTTACACAGGCGCATTACACCTACAACAATCTGTCGTCGGATTCCAAAGTGAGGACGAAACAGGTAAAAGAAGAAAAACTCACTCCAAAGCCTCTTTCTCCATGTAATGGTTATGTAGCAATTCTGCCAGTGCGCCCTGAAAGGATTTCATTAGTAAAGGAAGAAAGTAAGTTTAAGGCTTCATTATGGGTTGGGTATTTATAGATTTTTTTTTCCCCTCCAGGATAACCATTAACAATTCTCTTGGTAAGCAAAAATATAGTTTTAATAGTCTCTTCCTCCTGAGAGATGTGGAATGCAGACTGTCAGTCTCAAAGATGAAAGGCCCACACTCAGTAATAATTCACAGTCACTTACATCTAAAAGCATTATAAAGCATGTGAGATTGGGTAGTTATGGAGAAAGAAGGGAATGAAGAGTATAGAAGTGATGTTTGGTCTTTCATTGTGTGCTGTGTGCTTCCAAATTCAACTGCATGCCAGTTGTGACACCAGTAGAACATGGCTGCCTCATTCTGAAAACACATCTGCTTAGGTATTTTCACAGGAACATACACAGACTCCTTCAAAAACATGTTCTATACAGCTGTTCTGTGCCTAACCCTGTGCTAGGTACTCGGGATACAAAACTAGTGTAAGACTTTCTCTCTGAGAGAGGTTTACTATCAAGTCCATTGATGGGGACAAAGATGTGTAATGAACAGGAATCTACAGTTTGTAAGTAGTGTGATAAGTACTGTGATAGAAATATCCATAGAGTGTCAGGGGAAGAACTAGTCCTCCCATGATTAGGACTAAGGAAGTCAGGAGAAAGTTCCGGGAGATGAAGCCTAATCTGTACCAAAAAATACAAATAGAAGCGACTGCAGTTCTGCATAGCTGGTGAATGGGGTAAGGCTGGAGAAAATGGGACTTAGCAAGGGATGAAATCACAGACACGACCACATTTCTGAAAGGACTTAGACATTTTGTAAAAGAATTTAGACATTATCCTAAAGGTAACAAAGACTGGCTTAAATAACCATAATTTATTGCTTCACGGTTCTGGAGTCCAGAAGACTCAAATGAAGGTATTATTAGGGTTAGATCCTTCTAAAATTTGTGAAAGAAAATCTGTATCTTGGTCTCCTTCTCAAATTCTGATGGTTTTCTGGAAATCTCCATGTTGCCTGGCTTGAAGACACATTACCTTAATCTTTGCCTTCATGTTCACATGGTATTGCTCTGGTGGCCTGTCTAACTCTAAATTTTCTTCTTTTAGCTGGTATAGTCGTGCATGCCTATAATCTCAGCACCTAGAAAGCTGAGGCAAGAGGGTCTTAGTGAGTTGGAGGTCAGCCTCAGCTGCAGAACAAGACTTCATCTCACCTCCCACTAAAAAATTTCCCTTCTTATTAAGACAGCTGTCCTACTTGGTTAAGGACCTACCCTATTCCAATATGAGTTTATCTAAACTAATTATATTTTCAGTGCCCCAAGTCCCCAAAAAAGTCACATTCTGAGATACTGAGGATTGGGTCCTCAGTATATGAATTGTGGGAGGACCCAGTTCATCCCCAACAGGACATTACTGAACAGCCTTAGGCAGAATAATTTAGCATAATTTCAGTTCCATTTTAGAAACATCACTCTGGCAAATATGAGAACCATGGATCAAATAGGTTTATCAGACAGGTTTTGCTGTGGAACAGACAATCATACAAGGGAGGGCTCCCAACAATAAACACTTACTTACCTCTGACCTGCAAGGTTCAGCCATTCGGAACTGGGTTGGGCCTGGTGGTTCTGTGTGCACTGGTAGAGCTTATTCATGTGTCTGTGGTTTGTGGAGGGCTGTATTTCATGGTTGACTTGACTGGGGCACCTGGCCATTGCCACGGGCTTGCCATCCTCCTGGCAGGAGAGCAAGCCCCAGTGTTGAAGCAAATCCATTTCAATCATTTTTCTGTACCATATCTCCTAATATTTCTATTGGCCAAAGAAAATCATATGTCTCAGTCCAAAGTCTAGAAGCCAAGCAGTGGGAGAGGGCTGAGAAGTCCTATGGCAGGGAGTGTGGATGACAAAGGGAATAACATAGGGAATGACAAAGAAAGGACCAATGATGTGCTTTATCCCAAATGTAAATGATGCCTGAGAAGCTCCCATAACCCAACTGATGGTGCTATAGAGAAAACAAAGTGATATCCAAGCAAAACCCATAATTGGCCAGGAATTCCTCAGTAGGAGATCTGAAAGGCTTGCTATAAACCTCTCCATGATTGCTGTCACTTTTGTCCCTCTCTCTTGGTTATGTTCCAAGCCCAGTTGACCCTGACTCTGCCTCCACCTGCCTAGGACTCTGCAAGGCCAACTTTCCATGTTCTCTATCACTTCAGATGCTTCAGAGGAATCGCAAGATGCAATTACAGAAATTTTAAGTGCGCTGAGCAAACTAAAAAGATGAATACACAAGAAAACTAATACCAATATCCAGAAATCTCTAATCGGTAGTCTTCCCAAGATACTTTTAATTATGAAGACTCCGAGAGCTCTCAAGAACTTAAAGGGAAATGTCTTGGTCTGGCTTTTCCTGGTCTCTCTTGGTTCTCAGAGCATTTGTATTCTTGGAAGCTGAACCCTGTTTAGGGGCCTGCACTTTTAAATCATGCTGTGGAGACGGCTCAGCAGAACTTCAAAGATAGCTTGTCTTATGGTGAGACAGCAGCCCAGCACCGAGGGGAGAGAGAGCACAATCAGTGCCCTACTGCCTTCTGTTCTCCTACGGTTTGACAAGTACTCCCTCTTGGGCTGCCTGAATCCGTTTTGCAGCACAGCCCTTTAAGGAAGGAGTTCTTTTCACAAGAACTTAACACCCAGATAACTGCATACCCACACTCCCGCTTCCTCTGCTGCCTTTTTTTCCGGGTGCCTAGATCATAGCAGGAGCTTAATAAATGACAGTCCCCTTCTATTTCCTTCTCATGCATTTCCTCCTCTTTCCTTTCTCTCGAGATCAATCATTTTCTACTTATTTTTCTCTCATACTGCATGTACACATAACACGTGCATATGTATATACACACGCATATCTATGATACACATCCCCACACTCCAGTATATAGAATGTATGGTTACCACACTGAAAGAAATGAGATCAGAGGTCCTCAGCCATGTCTGTTCCAGGCTAGCAAGCAAAATGTAAACTGTGGGAAACCAATTACAAATCACAGAGAAATGCTGAGGCATGTATTATTAGAGGTTGCCCCTGTGTCTCTTGTGAAACTGGGACGGCTTGCAAAGTGTTATGCGATATCACATGGGTGCAGCCCCAGAGCTCGTTCTGTATCTGCCTACACTATGTTCACACTGCAAGTGGGAGAAGAAGCAGTCATAGCCTCCTTGTCTCTCTCCCTAGAACTACGTAATGAAAGAAGGGAAAGGGAAGTCTAGGGAAAATCCATGTAAATCTACTTTGTGATCTAACACCTAAAGATAATGTGATTTCCAGAGGAATTTGATTCATTGTTTGTGTCTACAACAGCTAGTCGGATAGCTATACCTGGATACAGAGGATTTGAGAATTATATATTCTTTATAGCTTCAAGAGTTGACTACCTTTTAAAACATTGTACTTTCATTTTAAATATGTTTGATAAATGATAATTATCCTCTAAGTGCAGATGAACTGATTTTTGCTTGAGCCTATGAGAAAACATATAAAATAATATAACTATGCATTAGGCACCAAGCAGCGTAACAGAGAGTCACTGTGAGGCTGTTACCCACCGTAAGGATCTGCGCTTGACTGGCAAAACATTCTATTAAACAGTATGCACACCCAGGCAGTAATCCCCTTCCCAGTTTTGGAGTGGTTGTTGCTTTAGCTTGTACACATCCAGCCCTAGAGAAAAGCAGGGACTGCGAGCCTTGCTCACGTGGATGTTGACACCCACAGTCTTCAGCCTCCAGGCTCACTCCGAGCCACCCTGAAGAGTGTATGAAGAGCCCTGGGCCCACACACACAGGTCCCGGCCTGCCTTGCCAGCCCTCCCTCAGCCCCTCACCCCTCAGGCAGGTCGGGGAGCGGGCTGTCTCTGCCAGCTACCAGGTGTTTCCATCAGCTGTCTTTTCCCCGCCTGAGGCTCAATTTCAAAACCAGTGCTTCCACGGCATCCCTTTTAACTAGAGTTCCTCCTGCCCTTCATGCAGTTCTCACACAAAAATTATTCCAGGAAATACACATGGGTAGAAATAAATATAAGTAACTAACATTTTTTTGTTCATTGACGTGTATGAAGTACTTATCTCATTTGCTTTCTATTTACCTTTCTTCCTAAGGGGTAGAGCTTGTTGTCATTAATCACCTTCATTCATTGAACTAATGTATTTTGAGAGCCTACTTTGTGCTGCCACTATTCAAAATGCTGGGGATTCAGTGAAGAACCAAAGGATATTTAGTAGAAGAGCTTTACTGTCATCAAAATAAATAAGCAAGACATATAGTGTGTTTATGGGAAGCTATAAAGCCAATGCAAAATAGGAAATAGAGCCAGGAGTGTTTATGTGGAGAGGCAGGCTTATAATTTTACGTAGGGTGGCCAGGAAAGGCCTCAGTAGGAAGGTAGCCCTTCAAGTACATGAAAGACAGAGCCATTTGGACATTTGGAGCAGAGCTATTCAGAAATCAGTAACAACAGACCACAAAGTGCCCAGGGACAGGAGGACCAATGTGCCTTGGACAAAGTGAACCAGAGAAGAATACCAGCCATAATATCACGGAGCAGGTCATGGGAAACTTGCATGATGTGGACAGATACTGGAAACTTTTAAGAAGAAGCACGTACATGATATGATTTACATTTTAAAGGGATGGAAAACTCATTTATTATTTTGGAAAGAATTCAAGAGTAACAGGTTGGAGGACAATAAGGAACCCAGTGTCAACTTGCTGAGTGTGGTATGCATTAGCTAATCGAGTAGAACTGTAGAGTAGCTGGTTGGACGTAAAATTCTGCAGGTCTAGGCTGCAGCATTTTATAATGGTGTGAGTCATCTGCATAGAGATGATACTGAAAACAGGAT